AGAGGTTCCACCAGTGGACCCGGAAAGCAGGCCAAACCTACAGAAGAGGTTCCAAAAAAATTTTAAACCCACCACTGGGGAGGGGGAATATAAATAGGAAGAAAGAAATGAATGTCTGTTAGATATGAAGGGGGGGGGAAGTTCAGTCTATAATATAGCATTAAACTTTGACCATGTGGAATAATATTGCCCCCTCTTTTCTTGATGTTGATAGACAACCAATTCGTAAGACAGAGCAAACACATCATCATGTCACATTTATGACATGACCTTATCTACTGTAGCAAAAATGAGTTTCCTTATAATGTCTCAGACTTGGTAAATTCAAAATTGTCAGTATACAATTCATCATCACGTTGACACCTTATCCCTTATGCTTTTTCCCAGTACTAGGTTAAGAAATTGTACAGCTCTTGAAGCCCAGTCCAGATTTTCAAGACTGTAACTCCACAGTCTTACTTGTGGTTATACTAACTGGGCAGTTATGAAGTTGCATAATTCTCTTAGGGAGGAATAGCACAGGGTAAACGGGTAAGAGAGGAAAAGGTAAATATTAGAAAAGAAAATCCTTCCTGTTTGAAAAGAGAACATAAGACTGCATGGATCATGTTAGTCAGAAGGGAAATTCACCAAGGTAGTAAAGTGAGAAACATTGTACTCCCAAGACCAAAAATCTCCATTCTGGTGATTAGCATACCCAGACTCCCAAAGTCAGAATCAGCGCAATAAAACCTGGTTCTGGACAACCGTTTCATTCTGTCAGCCTTTGGCAAGTAACTGGTTTTGTTTTGGGTGGCTGGGGAGAGGAATAGAAAAAGTTTCAGACCCGCTTTTAGTAGGGGCCATTTATATAACACTGGAATTTCTAAGTCAGCTTTCGCCAGCTTCGCCATATCGTAATCCATTGATTTTGAGAACAAAGAATTGATAAAGCAAGCCTTTTTACAAAAGGCCAAGAGCACCATCTCCCTCTTTGCCACTGTAGGCAATGTTCATCTGTCAAGCTGGACATACATGTCCTGAAATTGCTTGTTCAATTTTAGCAGCATTCCCTAGCACGCANAACCTTGAGCCGGTGAGATTTGAACTGCTGAACTGCAGATAACAGTCAGCTGAAATGGCCTGCAGTACTGCACCCTAACCACTGCGCCACCTCGGTTCTATCTTCTTTCTTCGTATCTAGATGATTGCTTGGGAAGATTACTATATTATTACCCTTCATTCTTAATTACCCTGTAAATTGTAACTTCATGATTTGCACAGAACTCTCAGAGAAAAGGTGAGTCTAAGGAATCTATGCTTATCCAGAAGCACTAGGTGAATTCCTTGCTCAGGAACACACAATGTC